TTTCCTAGAATCACAGACTGGTTTGGGTTGAAAGGGCTCTTAAAGATCATCTCATCCACCCCCCTGCCACAGCAGAGGCATCTTTCACTAGAGCAGGTTGCTCAAAGCCCCGTCCAACCTGGCGGTGAACACTTCCAATGATGGGACATCCAAAACTGCTCTGATCTTCTCCAGATCTGTTCCTCACCTGGCTAACTGTGAGAGCACCCAAAGACAGCACAATGGAGAAGATGAAGACAAGCAGCAGGACAGTAGGAGACAGATTACTCCAGTAGCAGCACAAACCCACACAGGGTTGACCCAATCACACTGAATTTGAGAAGCAACTGTTGACTGCAATGGTGAAACTTGGCTCAGTTTCACAAAGACTGTCCATAATTCCTAAGCAAAAATGAGGTTAGATTGCTCAACTTTCCACTCTGCTTGGGGAAAACCGGAATGTGAAATAACAACCAAAAGACGAGTATTTTTGTATCTCCTTCCAGCACCATTTCTGACGGCAGAGGTCCAACGCAAGCACTACTGCTAGAGTTTTCAGGCAAGAGGCAGGCAGATGCTAACACCAAGACAGATCCATGGAGAGTATCTCATGGAATGGAAGTGGAACCTGTGAAATCAGAGCCCAGCCCTCTCTGGGAACTTGCCACTCTACTTCTTGTCATACTATTTGATTTAGTGGCATTAGTGAATGCTTCAGCTTAACAAGACTTAACGCCTTCAGAGAAAATGTTAGTGGATGGAAGTCAAATCTGAAATATCTGGGAAAAATATACAACAGAAATCCTCTGTTTGTGGGGGAATTGGAGCAGAAAGTGAAGAGGAGCTGAGAATTAAAAACTATTGGCACCTCTGATTAAATTACAATCTACATGTATTTACAAGTAAAATACTTGCCTCCAAACAATGCTGGAGAAACGTAAGTAACCTCTGATTTAATACTGAACCCCAAAAAGTTAGAATTAATGTGTAATTTTCCACAAAACACCTGGTGACTGCAGGAGGCTGGGCAGTGGCTGATTTCAGAGCAACATTTCTCTGAAGAAAAGAATTAGCATCTTTGTTATTTTTCCTAGAGCTTCTTTTTTTAGCGATACATCAACACACGTTCAAAATTAGAAGCAAGCCTAATGAACAGCAGCTGTGATTTTGCACCTTCCTATGCTGAAGCAGTATTCTGCTGACCAAATATTTAAACTGACAGAACTAATTACTGCTTTTTAAAGTATCCGGCAGACCAAAACAGAAATGGATCCAACATAATAACTTTTCTAGAATGATCCTCAAAGTCCAAGCCAGCCAGCCAGCATATTAAACTGGAATCACAAAACAAATTCTGGGCACCCTCTACAGCTAGTTTTATCCTATTGTGCAGTTTGTCCTCTTTATCACATACTGAAAATGTGCACATACTGCAAGCGATCCCAGAGCAACAGGAGCCCACGCGGCTCAACAAATCTCTCACCACTTTTTAAAGGGGTTTTCATTCAGGTATTTTCCTAAAAAGAAAAAAAGTTGTACCAAGCAGGGAGAACCATTTTTAGAAAAGCCTTTTTTTTTTTTCCTGCTGTTTAAAACTACTAATGCAATTACAGAACAGCACATGTATCAATCGAGGCACTTAATTCTTGCACCATATTTGAACCTGGCCCAAACAAATCAAACATTATCTATATGTAAGAACTGCCATAGTTGACAGGCTCTATTTAAAAATTCTAAAAATTGACAAGGACAGTATTTTAAGTTCTGCCTTGAAGATACTGAATACATAAAATGTTTCCTTATTAAAAAGGTTTCAGGGGGAAAAAAAAAACTGCTTAGGAGAAATTAGTTGAAATTTGTCATGATCAAATTACACAGATCTGATCCAATCAAGCCCTCCTAGATAATTAAAGGACCTTAGGAGATTGTACATAATTTTTATTCATGTATTGGAGAACAGCAAATTCTTCTTCATTTCCAAATCCCATCCAGCTCCTCATCTCTGAATAAGCTACCTAGTGAAAAACTTAAAATAAGACATGCAGCAGCTGCTACAGCTGTCAGGAGCTGCTACTATAAGTTCCCAGTCCTTTTGGTTCACTAGTGATTTCGCAAACTTCATTATCTGATTTCCCCAAAGAATTCTGACCATAAAGTTTGATTTTATTTCAATTTCAACCAGGCGATTCAAACGAATCACTTTCAAAGACGCAGGCAATTTCAAACACAACCTCAGACAACTTTGCTCCTTCAAATAAATGGACGCTGAAAAACGAACTCCGAGTTCCTCTCAGTGGTTTGAGTTTCACGTACTGCTCGAGTTGAAGAGAAGCACCACCTTTCTTTAAAACCAGCCTTTTGGTGCCATCGGTCAGTTGGACAATTCTGTTGGAAAACACTTAAATGCAGGCAGGAGAATGAAGCTAGCAAAGGCTGGTATTGGTGGAACGCTGCACACACACGTGTGTGTCTGCAGGCAGGAGGGGGCTGGAATTTAGAGGAAGCAAGGTAGCAGAAATCAAGGCGATGTGCTGTGAAATACGATGAAATTCTAAGTGTACATCTGATGCTACCGCAAAAGCCTGTCAAAACTATGTTGCAGCAGCCATTTTAACTATCCAGTGGTTTCACTGAAATATAAATATCAGTGTTGCCACACAATCAAGGATTCAACGTCCCCACTGTTTGCGTTTTCAGGTGTGCCATTACTTTAATATACAACTGGAAGCGTGGAAGAGGCTGCAGCTGCAAGCAGAGCTGAGATTCAGAGTGAGGAGCAGAGCACTCAGCCTCGTGTGACAGTCCCACGGGCACAGCACAGCTATTTGCTTCGGCCGCTTTGACTTCTCGAATGAGACTCTCCATTAAAGAGACATAAGGAAAGGATCGTACTGGAAAATGGCAAAAAAAGAATAAAATGAAAAAAAAAAAGAGAGAAACAAATCTATTTTCATGGATTTCAATGCAGTAATAGGTGCCATTTTATTATAAACTACTGAAACATGTATTAAGCTTTTAACAATGTATTACCAAAATTACTATTTTGGTTAAGAAGTCCTCAGTATAAACGGCCAAAGCTTCTTTTCAAAGAAAAATAATTTCAGAGTAAGCTTGAAAATGATGTTTTGAAGAAAGCATCCTACCCCATAACTTGCCTTTCCAGTCAAGGATGACTGAAGCTTGAGAAATCTCAGTGCTGCAGTAAATTATTTTTCTATTTTCCTACAGCAATCTCACTTGCTCCACCCTCTGCTTCTTACGATCTGCTTTCAGCCACACCATACAGGCCATTAACATGACCTGCTTGTCGATAAAAAAGAAGGAATAAAAAAAGAACACCCAACACACCAAGCAGAGCATGGGTACATATGAAGCAAAGCATTTAGCCAGGGAAAAATCAGCTTGCCAGCACTGTTGGATATTAAGTTTAAACCCATTTTAATGGCCCTGCTTCCAATTCAAGAAATTCAAAGCGCAGAAATAAAATAGATTTATAAACATGAGATGCTTAACACAGCAAACAAATGTTTCTCTAAGTTTCATTATTTCAGTTCCCCGTAACAGTTTGAATTTTAAAGGACTATTTCAGCACAGCCTTGCACATTTGCCAGCATCATAAGTCACACTCTTATTTTTCTCTGTATAATTAATCACATTCTCTTTTGGTGGCCTGACTAGGGAATCTTGCACTTGTATTGAACTGAATCCTAATAAGACTAAACTTAGCTAAACTTAAGCTAAACCTAGGTAGAAGTAACTTACATGAACACAGACAAGGTGCAAGCAGCCGCACAGATCTGTAGCCCACAACCTGCGTAGGGGAGCAGAGTCACACCACACACATTCAAACCAGCTCTGTAGAGATGTATGAATGAAGTTATCACCTACAAATGTAGATTAAATAATCTTTCCAGTTCACAGGTGTGTGTGAAAGCCTCCGTCGATGTTCCACGTCGAGTTTTGAGCACTGCTTACCAAAAATTAAACCGCAGCTTAAGAGGAGGACTGATGAGAAGTCTCAGGGGAAGAAGAAAAGGTTAAAGAAACAAAGTATTGAGTCTACAGACTAATGAGGTTCAAAAGCAAGGGTCTAGATGATGCCACCATCCAGCCACTCCTGTCTCTGGTTGCTGATGGAGCTGGCAGGAGATAAGTAAATGATACAATCGCAGCAACGTAGGTTGAGGAATTCGATCCCATGCAGTCCTGGCATTTGAACGTGTTGACTGAAAAATGTGAGCCAAAGCTTCTGCTACACCAGCATCCATTACCCCACGCTCCATCTTCAGACAAACGTTGGAGCTCTCCTACACACCACCCTGCCCACACGGAAAGGACAGCCAACACCTATTTAAAAAGCCACCTCACCAGCCTGCCAGATCTCCCTTCCAGCCCTCCTTTGCAACAACAGCCATAAAAGCGTCTACGCCACGAGAACTTCACCTCATCGTTATTTGACTTTCGCTGTCTCTGTATTCCACTTCTTGTCTCCTTTTTACGCGTAAATCACAAGTCTCTCCGGATGAGGCTGTTCTCCTGTCAGATGTGCAGTGCCTCACACAGCAGGAACATCACCCGTAAAGGGATTTACTCGATGTCAGAGCAGTAAACCAAAAATACAACTGTGCCATGCCACTACAATGTGATTATGAACTATTCCCTGCTGCTTCGAAGGGGAAGGACAGGGGAATTTTTGATCCTTAACCGCAACATCAGATTTCATATCAGGGCTTTCAGAAAGTATTTGAAAGGGAAAAAAAAAAAAAAGAGGTTTATAGCATTATCTACCAATAGTAAACAAACTTCCCTTCAAAAACATTTCCCTAACAGAGAACATTCAAAAACCCTCCGAAGATGAGCAAGATGGGAGGCATTACATAAATTACTATACAGGATTGCTATTAAATGAGCTCTGCACAAGCATAAATATTACTGAACTGCAAAAAAAACCCCATGGGCATACATCATAAAATCCATTTTAAAATCCCTGGAAATGCTCAGCTGTAAGTTGTTTACCTGTGATGAGTAAGTGAAGCAACAAATATCATGGGGGTTTTGTCAGCACCTCATTAAGTTCATAACTTAACAGCCTTTACTTTTGTCTATTTTCTTAATAAAAATTATCACAAGGATGCATTTTCAGAAACGACAACACTGACGTGGAAAATACATCCTGCAGCATGGCATCATTTTGCAAGAACACAGCCAATTAGAGGCAGATGAAAAACACACCAAGCTCCTTTAGCTTACAGACTCTGAGGTCTCATAGAAGAGCGCAGATCCCCCTACGTTGCAGGAAATTAATTTTTGATTTTTTAGTTAACATGGAGACACCTGCCTTCAGGAAATAACCGACAGAAGCTGACACCAGCAGCAAGACAAACTGCAAACTGATTTTCATCCTGTTTAAGGCCACCTTAACACTAATGTTGGAAGGTTTTATGTTTATCATTAAAGTAGGAATACCAAACTGAACAGGCAATGTGTCGTGGTGTTTGCTTACAGTGCCATCAGCGTATGCACTGCCGCATGGAAAGAATAAGACAGGGTGCTAACAAAGTTTACAATGCATGAAGCCAGTATAAAGTATATTCAGAATTACCCAAAATAACCGCAAGGGGTGAGACTTTTAAGTTAAACAGGCTAAAACAAGAGGAAGAAATAAAAACTTTATTTCTTCACCTAAAACAGAAAAATCGTGGGTTTGGCAGATGTTGTACAGCATAAGGGTTTGGTAGGTTAACTCTGTTCTGAACAGAGCCAGCATGATTAAATAGCATCTTTAACATTAAATCTAGCCTTGTATTTACCACATAACCTTCAGCACACTCCGGTGAAATTCAAGAATCTCAACCCAAACAGGTGAACTGGTGGTTTAGAGACTTGCTCACAACCCCACAGTTCAACCCAACATCAGGAAACAGAGCCCACGAGTCCCAGCTCTCAATTTCAGATAACCAAGAGATACAGGAGGGCAGACAGCTGTCCCGAGAGCGAGCAACTCCCTCTGAAAGTCATTCAAAACTGCTTCTTTCCAATTTCTATGCCTATTTCTATACTAACAGTACAAATTAACCTTCAGCTTTTTTGCTTAGCCTCAGCGCCATGTCATTAAACCCTTACATGAAGCTTAGCTTTAAAATAATTCATATTAAGTATTTGATTAAAATTTGTTAGTATTACTTCATATACGAACTATATCAATTGTATTATATCTATCCAAATATAATATAAATAGGAAGATGTGAAATAAATGTTTTGAAGCTCTACTTTAAAGGAGAGGACAAATAGTCCTCTCTCATGCATAAATACCTAAACAGTTTATTTCAGTCACGGTGGAGTAGCTGTCTTTTTCATTATTTCTTTTAGTTATCTGATTTCACGCATCAAGGCAAAGGAGATTTCCTGTAGGAATTGTAGGGTATTTTTATCCTCCAAATAGAACACTTCGTATCATGCAGGCATTGTGCAGCACACACCTGGACCTCGCAGAGGTTGGCCTTCCTCCAGAGGATCAACCCCTGGTCTTTGTCACCATCCAGACCTCAGATTTTGTACTTTCACAATCGGCAACGTACGAGAAGTCATATAGCCCTGAAAACACCTTTTCTCTAGAGTTAATAAAATCTCCATGTTTTCGCCATTCTTCTTAAGCCTTTGCACAGGGCTGAGAAGCATCCTGCTCAGCACCCCGAGACCACGTCTCCTGAGCTCAAATCCCCAGGATTACTGCCAGCTTCCTTTGCTTCTCTCTAACTACTACTATAACTTTGCAACTATAACTTCCCTCCCTACAATCTAGCCATAACCCTGCTGCAAGATCATCTTGATCTCCTTTAACCATAATTAGGTACCTGCTTGGAATATGAGCTTCTCCCTCACACTTTTGGAGGTGAAATTACTGAATTCCATTCAAAGCCACCCCATTTACAACCCATTTTCTCCCTCTGACTCATGGTTAGAGAATAAAGTTGTTGCCAAGGTTGTTCTTGTCCAGCCAGTCCTTTTTAGTCGCCATCCACAGAGCCAGACCCAGGTCAATCTTCTCTCACAGTTTCCAAAACATATTCTCGCTCTTGCTTCAAAGATCTGACATCTGTAACCGGGCTATCCCAGATTTTCCATCATCTGAAGCGGGAGTTTAAGTCACTTGGCAGGGCTCACCTACTGCACAGCTTCACGTGAGTGTCTGCTGCTGAGAAATAACATTTAAACACACTGCTCTCCCCCAACCATGCTTTCACCGACTCTGAGGTACCACCCAGACAAATCACGACTTGTTCAAACACAGATGGCAAAAGGACTCAGCGAAAAGGGCTGCTGAAGAGCAATCCCAGCACCAGCCACCCCCCCAC